GAGGACATTCGTCTTGAATAGTCTCCAACGCATCGTTCCCTGTCGCCTGTTAATAATGAGAAACGAAAAATAAGATAATACGGGACGATTCAAGGTCTGCGGGGAAACAAGATTTCAAGTGCAGCCAGCTCATCCGGATAATGATGTAGGTTAGGTTCTCAGCGGTATATATCGCAAAAATCAACATTCTTCGTGAAGCCGGGGCTCGCAAAAAGTATAAACCGGTTTGCCTCGTAAATGGTACACGAGCGTGCGAACGCGGGACAGCCGAGAGGAGGAGAAAGAGCAAGTGAGAGTAAAGGGAAGGTAAAGGAGAGAGATGTTTTCAGTCGAGAGCGATTTACGGTAAAGCGATATTTCGTCGATACATGTCTGCCCTTCTTAGAAAAGGAGACGAGTTATTTCTGTTATTGAAAAAAAGGAGGGCGAATTATTTCACAGAAGTTTATTACGGCTCGACTCGACTTTTGTTTTGTTGCAATTATTTCGACATACCTACTCCTCTGACGATGCATTATCTTTGCATTGAATTACAGTTGTAAAACAACACCCGACGTCAGTTATTTTTCATCGTAATGAATCAACGCTAAGTCCATTACTTTGTTCCATAGCCGACTCATCACACGGCCTTAATAGTAATAGACCAATGCATTTCTGATTCGTCAGCCACGTTTTTTTTTACGTAACGCTACGCGCAACGCCGCGCGTGACGTCAGCTTGTACTCTCAATGTTGTCTGCTAGTCAGCATCGTCTCGGCGGATATGAGATTCCTGTGGAGAAAGCATGCTCGAGCGCAGCCCAGATCCACTGGTGGACTGTAAACGCAAGGTCAATGTCCTTACAAATAGAAAAAAGAAAGGATATCTATTTTCCATTGGAGCAGAGACGAGGTTAACCTCACCGTCGACCCATCACGACAGAAGATTTTATTACGATTAAAGTCACGAGAGCAAACGTTGATCAAGCTCAGGGGACAGTTCTTTCTTTCTTTTTTTTTTTTTCTACGTAACACCGGCAAGTGACGTCAAACAGCGTGCAGTGTGCTGCTAACCAACACGTCGTCGACAAACACGGAAATCTCACGGAGAAAGCATGATCGAACGTAACCTAGATTCGGAGTGGCAAGGCCAATGTACGACGAAAGAAAAACCTACTAACGTAAGAACCAAAATAGTAGACTGTCCTTTCTACGTTTTTTTTTTTTTTTTTACCATCATTTTTCTATCGCCAGGATCTTTTTAGCGAGTTTTCGCAAAACTTTTCTTTTCTACGGAGCGAGCGTTGCATCGTGCCGCTACATGGTACACGACGACATGTTAGAGTAAAGCAGTTGAGCAGCACGTTTTTTACGTAACGCTACGCGTAACGCCGAGGCATGACGTCAGCATACTCGGCGTCGTGCCAGCCACCAACGACGACGAACGCCGAACGCGGAATTCTTGCGAAGAAAGCACAAACCGAGAAGAGCCGAGTATAGCCGAGCGAGACGGCACGACATAGTTGCACGAGGCGGCAACGCCGCGAACGTCTGCTAGGTTCAAGGGTACGGAGTGTGGAGGTTGCTCGCTCCGCGTCCCATCGTCCGACGCGATCAAGAGAATTGTCCCGAGAAAACAGTTGGGCGCATGCCCGCGCTTTCATCCAACGGGAAACTTCTCGAAAGATGCGCGCAAGAAACTCGTACGTCACTTTATATACTTACTCCTATATTCGGAGAAATTCCTCGCAACATGGACCAAGTTAAATGCTCCTAGCGTTTGATGCATGCGCCGCGCGGTCCGCTCCAACTATGTATTCGCCAGGAATTTAAAACCGACCCGGCTTTGCCAGCAGCAGCAGC